CACACAAGCCCCCTCCCCATAGCCCCCGCCTCACTCACGTGGCGGGAGGACAGAATCGTTCAGGGAAGGAATGGAAGTAAGACAAGAAAGAAGAGCCTGCCCTCTCGAGTGGGTGCCGGCAAGACTCCGGGAGGGCAGACACAGGGCAGCGACTCCCGGGGTCACAGGGTTTGCCTGCCCGCCGCTGGGGTGCCCGGGTCATACTTCCCCATGGCATGTGTGAGTGTGAGTGTGTGAGAGGCTGAGTGTGCGCATGAGCATGAGAGCAGGAGGGAGAGATGTGAGTGCATGTGTGAGTGAACATGTGCGTGTGCGAGAGTGTGTGAGAGAACGTGTGTGTGTGCAAGTGCGCATGAGTGTGAGAGTACGTGGGGACATGGGGCAGGAGGGAAGGAAAAACACCTTCTCCCCTTGCTTGCAGGGCTTTAGACCGCAGGCACAGGTGTGGCACAGATGCAGGTGCGGGGCACGCACAGGTGTGGGGCACGCACAGGTGCGGCACAGGTGCGGGGCAGGTGCAGGTACGGCACAGGTGTGGGGCAGGTGCGGCATAGGTGTGGGGCAGGCGCAGGTGCGGCAGAGGTGTGGGGCAGGTGCAGGTGTGGGGCAGGTGCATGTGTGGGGCAGGTGCAGGTGCGGGGCAGGCGCAGGTGTGGGGCAGGCGCAGGTGTGGGGCAGGTGCAGGTGCAGCACAGGTGTGGGGCAGGTGCAGATGAGGGGCAGGCTCAGGTGTGGGGTAGGCGCAGGTGTGGGGCAGGTGCAAGTGTGACACAGGCACGTGCCAGGGGTAGGCTGGCCTCTCTCAGGCCAGGCCAGAGGCCATCCTGGGGGCAGTTTCTCCCATGTCTCTGGGCAGATTAAAATCTCTGGATTCAGAGAATCAGAGTCAAGGGCTTCCCGTGGACTGTATTCAGAGCCTCAGGAAGGGCTGGGGCCATAAAGGGAGCTGCTCCTTTCTCTGCAGAGACCATGCTTAACTCTGAGCGAGAACTGAGTGCTCGGAGCTGGGCCAAGCGCTGCAAAGACCCTGCCAGTTCCTCATAGTTGTTACCCCTGCACGTTCCCTTCTCTTCCCCAAATGCAGCTCAGGGGCTAGAGGTGAGAGCAGGGGAGGCTCCGTCCTCAAACCCAGGCCCTGGCAAAGGTGGTTTCTGTAGTGCAATCCAAGAGGCACACGTCCTTTTATGCATTTCAGGCTTGTGGTGCTGGAGAAACAACTAATTTATTTGCAAGGAGAAAGAACAAGATAAAACAAAGTAGCAGAAGGGGAATTGCATGGTTTCAAGGTTTATGATTGTACTGGTGATTTATCCAGTCCAACAGCAGAAAGAGAAGTATAAAGAATGCTGGCAATGGCTGCTTCTCCTCCTACTCCCTCTCCTTCTGCATCTCCTTCTCCCTCTCCTTCTTTAGCAATTTTTACCTGTACACCTTATCTTTTCAACCAGACCATAAGGCTCAAGTAGTAAAAACTTGATTTCTTGCATCTTCTGAATATAACCAGTAGCTGACACAGCACTTGGGAATTACTTGATACAATTAAAAATATGTTTACTTCATTTTTTTAGGGAGTCTAATCATCCATCTCTCAGTGTGATCATCTACCATCTTGAGACCCAGCCAGCCAGCCTTCTGAGATTCAAAGGGCTTTCAGTGCTCTTCTACCTTTCAGCCTGACTTTTCCTACTTCCCATTAGAATGGAGGCCCCTTCTCCATCTGCAGGGACTAGACAGAACCTTCTATGCCTAGGTTAAAATAAGCCACCTCCTACAGCAGGCTTCCCACCAGCCAGCCCCGAGGTGATCAAGGAGGGGACAGCTGTGTCCTGACACAAACGAAATTTGGGGGCTCATGGAGTTGGTGCCCTTCGAGTCAGATGCTCAACATTCTCCAGCTGGGTCTCGGATCCTGGTTCTATGAGCTACTGTGGTCCTGGGGCCACCCACACGCCCTCTGCCACCTCAGCGCTTATGTGTGCACATGGGGATAGTCCCTCAGGACCCACCCACTACGCAGGGAGCTTTGGGTAGACCTGCCCCAGCTCTTACCGTCACGGTATAAAGATTAAAAGTTAAAGGATGATCAGAAGGCAGATAATAGAAATGTAGGTGTGTGCATCAAAGGCAAGGCTAAGTTAGCAGATTGGGGGAAACGGATTGGAGATAGGATATCATAAACTTTGTTTTAACATTTATTCATTTTTGAGACACTGAGAGACAGAGCATGGGTGGGGGAGGGGCAGAGAGAGACACACACAGAATCCGAAGGAGGCACCAGACTCTGGGCTGTCAGTACAGAGCCCGACGTGGGGCTCAAACCCATGGTCGGTGAGATCATGACCTGAGCTGAAGTCGGACGCTTACCTGACTGAGCCATCCAGGCCCCAATCATAAACATTTTTGACAGATAGTCCAATAGAAAAGGACAAAACATTCATACAGGCACCTCATAAAGAAAGTATAAACATAGCCAGTAAGCATGTGAGAGGCTGTTGAGCATCAGTCATCATTAGGGAAATGCTAATTAATACCACAAGAAAATACTCATACAGACCCACCAGAATGGTTCACCTGAAAAAGACTGCCAACACCAAGTGCTGGTGAAGACGAGGAGGGCAGGAGCCCCCACACACTTTGGGGGGTGTGAAGAGCAGCTACTTTGACAAGCTATTTGCCAGGCCATACCAAAACCAAGCATGCACAGAACCAGGGACTGACCAGCGATATACTCCTAGCTGAACACTAAGTAAAATGCAGATTTGTGTTTCATCAAAGACACGTGAGAGAAGAGGAAGAGCAGACTTTTATATCAGGTCTGCAAACTGAAAACAATTTAGATGGTTCTCACAGTAGGATGGGCAAATCCTTGGTGGTGCATTCATACAAGGGAATATCTTACAGCAGTGAGAACAAGCTTCCACCGCAGCCAACAATATGGGTAAATCCCACAGGCTCATGTCGACTCAAGAAGGCTACCCATGTGTGAATACACATATACACAGTGTGTGATTTCACTGGTTTAAAGCTCAGAAGCAGGCACGCAACTGAGTTGTGAGTTTTTAATTTTATTATTAATTTGCTTTTAGAGAGCGAGAAAGCGAGAGCGAGAGCATGTGCAAGCAGGGGATTGGGGCAGAGGGAGAGAGAGAAAGAGAGAGAATCCCAAGCAGGCTCTACACTCAGCCCCACAACCCTGGGATCATGACCCGAGCCGAAATCAAAAGTCAGACGCTCAACCAAATGAGCCACCCAGGCGCCTCTGAGTTGTGATTTTAGAAGTGAGGACGGTAATTACCCTGGTGTGGAGGTAGATGACAGAGGACACAAGGTGAGCTTTGGGGAGGCTGGTGAGGTATGTTTCTCAATCTGGGTGCTGATTCCACGGAGGTATTCACTTTGTGAAAATCCTCAAGCTGTCCTTTTATGATTTGTGCACACATTTGTGCGTATATGTTGGCATTTTTTTTAAATTTTTTTATTTTTTTAAAAATTTATTTCTAGGAGAGAGAGAGAGAGACAGCGTGAGCAGGGGAGGGTCAGAGAGAGAGGGAGACGCAGACTCTGAAACAGGCTCCAGGCTCTGAGCTGGCAGTCAGCACAGAGCCCGACGTGGGGCTCGAACCCACGAACCGCGAGATCATGACCTAAGCGAAAGTCGGACGCTTAACCGACTAAGCCACCCAGGCGCCCCTAGGTTGGCATTTTTAAATGGGTACAGATTCTTTGTCGTTCCTCCTATCGAGAGGTGGGAGCTATGTTCCCTTCTCTTGATTCTGAGTGGGCTTGTGACTTGCTTGTAACCAGTAGGAGGCGGGGGTGATGATGTAATTCTTCCATGACCAGGTCAGAAAAGGTGTTGCAAAATACAGTGTATTAATAGAAAAATTGGGGTTCGGGAAGTCCAACAGATCAGGAAATGATTTCCATTGATAAAGATAGCACATTACTCACTGATCCCAAGCAAAGGGGACAGGCCACATCATAGGGGACACAGGGGAAGTACTAGGGGCAGCGAGAAGACAGAGAGAGGTAGAAAGGTGGGCAAGAGCTGCTAGTGTGGTTTCTGCTGGAAAAAACCCACATGCGACTTTGGACTGACTAGTTTGGGTCATTTTGGGGGCTCTGGGACATGGGGCTGCCCTGGTCGTCCGGCATCTGGCCCTGTGGGTGATTCGGGCAGGTGGAGAGTGGCCCAGAGTGTGACAGCCCGATAAAGGAGGTGATTGGGGTGTGACTGCGGACTGGGCGGTTTACACTTGAAAAGTACATCAAGGAATTGGCCGAGCCAGGAAGAGACAGTCCCTCAAGGGTCAGTGAGGCCCTAAGACGTGGAAGCGTCAGAATTTAGAAAATAACAGAGGTGGTTAATACATGGAGCGCCTACCTCGTTTCTGGGATCCTTTTCAAGCCTAAGGCTGCTGTGAAAAAAAGGAAGTCACCTCCAGGCTACTCTGCTGTGAGGAAGCCCCCGTCTCATGAGGCGTTCACATGCAGGAGCTTTAGTTGACGCCCCTTAGCTGAGGTGCCAGCCAAAAGCCAGCACCAACTGCCATTCATCTGAGTGAAGTCACCCCCAGATGGTCCTAGGCTCTGGCGTCGAGTAATGCCCGGTTGTGACTCTTCTTCCCAGCTGAGGCTCCCAACATCGAGGAGTAGAGAAAAGCCATTTCTACTCTTTCCTGTTCAAATCCTGACTGTGAACATCATAACGTGTGTTTCAAGCGGCTACATTTTGGGGAGGGGGTAATATGGTACACAGAAATAGTAGTGGCACTGAGCCCAACGGGGGGCTCGAACCCACGAACCATGAAATCATGACCTGAGTCGGACACTTAGCCACTGAGCCATCCAGGCGCCCCCAAAAAGTTTACCTAAAAAGAGATATATTTTTCATTTGCATGTTGTTTCAGCAAATTTCTTATTACTACAGAGGCATAACCCCACAGATGCGATATGAGTTTTCTTTTTTTCTTTTTTGTCTCCCCAAGGACCTCAATGGCATGACTTCCAGCATGACTAATCCAAGCAGCGCCCCCTACAATGCCAGCTCCTGCCTCCCTCACTTCCCGCCCCGGGCAGTCAGTGCGGCCCTCTCTCGGTTCTACACGGCCCTCTTGGTCTTCAGTGCTCTGGGAAACATCCTTGCCCTGTGCCTTGCGTGTCAAAAGGTCAAGACGATCAACTCAACGGGTGTCTACTTGGTCCGCCTGGCCGTGTCTGACCTGCTGATCACGCTGGCCCTGCCCGGAAGGGTCGCTTACTACGCGCTGCACTTCAGCTGGCCTTTCGGCGAAGGGCTCTGCAGGCTGACGGCATTCATCCTCTACGTGAACACCTATGGGGGCGTCTACCTCATGACGTGTGTGAGCGTGGACCGTTACGTGGCCGTGGTCCGCGCCCACCAGCGCCCCCAGCTCCGCAGCGCCGGCCGAGCGAGGCTCGTCTGTGTGGCTCTCTGGGCCCTGGCCTTGCTGCAGACGGCACCCCTGCTCTTCCTCCCCATGGCCAAGCCGGTGGCCCGCGAGCTGACCTGCATGGAGTATGACAGCGTCGAGGGAATGCTCAGGCTGCCCCCCGTGGTCCTGGTGGCCTGTGCCGTAAGCTTCTGCGGGCCGGTGGGGATCATACTGTTTTGTTACATGAGGATCACCCTGAAGCTGTGCAGGACAGCCCGGGAAACTCTCTGATGAGCCAGAAAGGCCGCCACCGGAGGGCCTGCCTGCCCACCCTGGTGGTGCTGGTGGCCGTGCTCGTGTGTTCCAGTCCCTGCCACCTCAGCGTCATCCAGTTCATGCTGAGGGGCACGCTCCGCCTGCCCTCCTGCCCCGAGCAGAGGGCTTTCAGACTGTCCCTTCAGCTCACCATGCCCCTCATGAACATGAACCTCGGCACTGACCCCATCATCTACTTCCTTGCCTCCACGCGGTGCAGGAAATGGCTCCTCGGCCTTTTAAAACTCAGAGTGTCAGCATCTTCCTCCTCCTCCCCCCAGGGAAAAGCTTCCTCAGAAACAAGAAGTATCAACCAGACTGGAGGCTCAGTGCCCTTAGCAGAGGATGAGGTCTAATGAGTCATTGGCTCCGAGACTTTATCTAGGGAGGGGTGCGGGACTGGGGGCCTGAAGCTTCTATAATTTGAGGGGTGGGTTCTTTAAGAAAAAGAATATGGGAGAATAAATGCAAAATTAGGTACAGAGTCTTGGACGGTAGGTGGGGGTCCCCAAAACTTGAACTTGTTAGCTTCATGATGCAACACCTCTAATGGATTGAAATAAAGAACAGGGGGGCTCCTGGGCCTCTGAAGGGGTGGGTGGGTGCTGTTTCTTCCTGGGGGGAAAAGAGAATTTGCATAGTAAATGCAGAAAAGACCAAAAGAACAGGTTTCGAGTTTGCGACGAACCACAGTGCCCCTCCCTCCGAGACAGAGTTTGTAAAACCTTCAAGTTAACATTTACAAAAACGCCAAGGTTTTCCTGGAAATGTCAGAAAGCTCTGGGGACGCAGGCGCATTCCGGTCGGGATGGAAAGGAGTGAGAGGTGCGCGGGCGGGCGCCGGGCTCCCTGTGCGGACCTACCTCGTCCCCATTCCCTGCGCCTCGGGGACAAAGGCCGGGGAAGGGCGCGGCTTTCTCACCGGTTTAGTGCTTGTGTGGAAGCGCTTACCGCGGGGGCGTTGCTGACGGGCGATGGAGACAAAGCTTTCCATGCGCCTTCCTGACTTTAAAGCGGCTTGCGTTGCGTTTGGACTTGGGCGATTTGCGCAGTGCCCTGCTCGGCGCCGCGTCAGCCGCCCCCGCCCTTCCCTGGTGTCCCCGCCGCAAGGCGCAGCAGGGTCTCAGCGGAACCGCCCGGCCCTTTCCCACAGTGACCTTCCGCTTCGTGCATCTCCCAGTTTCTGACGTTTGGGGCACAGGACTCTCCTCCGCCTGGAACCTCAGGCTCTGCTCGCTGGAAGGGTGTCACGTGTCCCCTGGGCTGGGGAGTTCCTGAGCCCTGCGGTGGCTGAGCCCCTTGTCACTGTCCCCCCCCCCCGTAAGGAGAGGTGCTGCTCAGTCCACTCTCACTGGTTTAGGCGATGAGGATAATTCCTCTCTCGCAGTCGGATACACTGCATCCTATCAAGAGACCTGGGGGGGGCGGCTCACGTCACAGTTCAGGGCTTGCTTCTCCTCCATTCTGCCCCACCCCCCTGCTCTGAGCAGGGAGGACACTCAGCTTATGAGTTTCCCTCGGACACCGTGGCCGTGAACCCCTCTGGCCACACAGGTCCCTGTATGGGTGTCTCTCTGGGGACACGAGAGCGAAGTGCTCAGCTGGGGCTTCTGGCCCGCGGAGGCGGGGGGTGCGGGGGTGCGGGTACCAAAGGCTTAAAGAGTTTGGACCTCTGCTCTGGGGCTCCTGTGTATTCACCAGGGGAAGGTCCCCTGAGGGCCCCCACCCCCACCCCACCCCCGCTGCAGCCTGCACCCGCCGGGCGGAGTAAATCCCAGCTGCCCTTAGTGTGAGTGCGTCCACACCGGGCTGGCGTGCAAAGCTTCCACTTCTGCCCTGTTTGCACTAACCCAGCACTTAGCAAAGGGCGTGGGGGTGGCAGGAGGGGGCCCGGCTGGCAGCGTGTGATGAGGCGGACAGAGCCGCCTTGGAAGCAGGAGGTCTCCTCCTTGGACACGGGGCAGGCACGCAGGGCTGCCCAGACCTGTCTGACTTCTGCCCTTACTCGCCCCCCTGGCCGCCCTCTCGAGCGTTTTTCACGTCCCGTCCACCCTGACACCAGGCTTCTCAGCTCCAAAGCTGCTCAGGTGGTGTACTGGGGCCCGTGGGAGCAGCTGGGAGAAGGCACGTCTAGAGGGCCTCGGGGGTACAGCCAGAGCAGGCGGGGACCAGGTGGTGAGACCAGCAAGGAGGCGCAGCGGCGGGTGGGGAGAGAGAGCCGAGCCGAGACGCACCTTGGGTTTGCAAAGCCAGCCACAGGTGGTCGGGGATGGCTTCCTCTTCAGACGTGGTTTACAAAGAGGGACATCTGAGTTCTGAGGGCTGCACTCACCAGATGTGCTCCAAGGCCGGGCTCTGAGTGTGGGGTCCTGAGCTCAGGGAGTCAGGAGGGAACAGGATCCTGCCGAGGACTCCTACCCTCACCTGAGTCCCATTCTCCTGTCTGTAAACAGGAGCCCTGGCCCCTGTCACCTGGGGTTATTGTTGGAGGCTGGGGAAGGCCCATGAACCAACTCGTGCGTAAGTCACTTAAAACTAGAGATGGAGGGGCGCCTGGGTGACTCCATCAGCTAGGTGAGCGACTTCAACTCCGGTCATGATCTCACGGTTCGAGGGATCGAGCCCGGTGTCGGGCTCTGTGCTGATGGCTCAGAGCCTGGGGCTTTCTTCAAATCCCTGTGTTTCCCTCTCTCTCTGTCCCTCCCCCTCTCATGCTCTGTCTCTCACACACATAAATAAATATTAAAAAAAAATTAAGGGACGATTTAAAATGCAAATGGCCTGTGGACACTGCAGTTTTCTAGGTGGGATGGCATAGGTCGTATCAGTGAGAATTATCACTGGGACTCGGAGGTTGCGATGCCTAGGCCACATCCTGCCTCCTAGAGGAGTGGTTCTCCAGGGGTGGTGTCTGGCCCAGCAGCACCCAGAGACCTGTTAGAAATGCACATTCTATGGCAGGGGCCCAGCACTCTGTCTGAACAGACTCTCTGGGAACCCCCCCCACCGCCCCAAGACTCGGCAGCACCTCTCTTGCCCACTGTGTTAGTTTGCTAAAGCTACTGTTACAAAGTGCCATCAACTGGGTGGATTGAAACAACAGAAACCTATTCTCTCGCACGTCTAGAGGCTCAGAGCCCCAAATTGGTAGGGCTGGTTCCTTCTGAGCCTGTGAGGGAGCATCTGTTCCAGCCTCTCCCCAGCTTCTGGGGGCTTGCTGGCGATCTCTGGGGTTCCTTGGCTTGTGAAGCATCACCTGATCTCTGCTCTGTCTCCACGTGGCATTCCCTTGGTGCATCTCCGTCCTTACGTGGCATTTTTGTCTTTTCATAAGGACACCAGTCATGTTGGGTTAGGCCCATCCTAATGACCTCATTCGTCTTTTAAAAAATTTTTTTTTTATACTTATTTATTTTTGAGAGACAGAGAGAGACAGAGCAGAGTGTGAGTGGGGAGGGGCAGAGAGAGAAGGAGACACAGAATCTGAAGCAGGCTCCAGGCTCTGAGTAAGTGTTCAGTACAGAGCCCGACGCGGGGCTTGAACCCCCGAACCGTGAGATCATGACCTGAGCCGAAGTCAGACACTTAACTGACCGAGCCACCCAGGCGCCCCTGACCTCATTCATCTTAACTGGATGATTCCTGCCAAGAACCTGCTTCTGATTATGGTCACGTACACAGGGAATGGGACTTTATCCTATCCTCGTGGGGGGACAAAATTCAACCCATAACACTCACCCATTTCTGAACACCCCTGTTTCCAGACTCCTTGGAGCCCCACCCCATCCCTAACCTCTCCCCAGCTCTAAGCCCTCACAGCCCCCACTGTGAAGGCGAGGCTCGGAGGAAGGGTAAGAGGGTCCTGTTTTAAACCCCAGTTAGGGTTTATCTGTCATGGTTATTTTCCAGACCCTGTCAGAATAACCTCATGTCAACACAGAAGTATCAGGGTCTCCTCACCCTCCACGTGGGAGACCAGTCCAGGGTATGCCAGGAGGCGCGGGGCAGCTCTGAAGGTCAAGGCCCTGTGATAAGGTCCCACAGTCCCATTCCCTGGGGGTGGACAAAGTGTGCCCAACCAGCAGAGGTGTGCAGGGGATTCTGCACTGGGCTGGAGGGTCTCATGATGACTTCTAGGAATCTTAATCCCTTGACATTTTAAGAGGGAAGAGCAGAGAGTTTCATAAATCAAGTTCGTAGATACCCAAATGTTCCTACGGCCTCTTGGCTTTCTCCAGAAAGCCCGTTTTCACTGAGAATCACATTTGGGATCACTGCATACCACAAGTTACCCACTATCTGACTTTCACTACAGTTTTCTTTCTCGCTTCACCAAGTGACGGTGTACGGGACAGGCGCAGAGACTGAGAAGTCGTCTGGAGGGCTCAGGGCCAGGCCTCGCCCCCCTCGGAGGCCCCACCCCTGTAGTGCACAGATCAGATCACACCGCAGGCCACACGAATCCCTCAAGACTGGGATGTTCTTGTTCCTCTGTAACTGGTGGGGTCTTGAAAGTCTTGTTTTCTAATGCCAGAGGTCTACACCATCTTCCTGTGCCCACATTCTTGGATCCCAAGAAGCCCTGGTATGTGTTCTGTTGCCTTAATAGCCCTGCAATGGCAGTGGGAGGTGGTCTGTCCCAGGGAGGCAGACCTCTGTTTGCTGCTGCTTGACATTCTTCCCTTTGCTAGGCTGCACATCGGGGTAAAGTGCTGTGAACACTGCCAGAAAGTCCCAGTAAACACTCATCAGCTGAATCCACAAATGACTTTTCCCCGAGCTCAGAGAGCTGATGGTGAGCCCGTGCAGAAAGGGCAGGCTGGGGGCGGGGGAGGGGACCGGGGAGGCTCAGCAGTTAAGCATCCGACTCTCGATTTCCGCTCAAGTCATGATCTCACAGTTTGTGGGTTCCAGCCCCACTGTCCGCATGGAGCCTGCTTGGGACCCTCTCTCTCTGCCCGTTCCCACTCATCCTCTCTCTCAACATAAATAAGCAAACTTAAAAAAAAAAGGGCAGGTTGGGGACACCCCGTTTCTGCAGTGAGTTACAATTCTGTCTCTGGGCCAGTACTCCTCTTCATTAATTCACACATTTATCAAGTATTAGCCTAGGCTCCGTGGACACAAAGGGAATAACGGGGATACAGCCCTCAGAGCTCGTGGATTGTGTAGACGAGCACGTGACACATAATTGCAATCAGACGATAGGAGAATGTGTTCAGTGTTAAGTGGAGACTCATAGACTATGGGAGAAGAGATGGGGGGCTGTCTGGGAGGGCTCCCCGGTTTGGGCTGGAAGATCGGGTTGATGGTGGTGTCATTCCTGACAGGGGATCCGGGATAAGACAGAGTGTGG